TTTTGTTCTTAAACAAAACTCGAATGCAGACGGGAAGAAATACGCAGAGATGGTGCTTCAGAAGCCGCTGGACAGGGAGACAAATCCTAGTCTGTCTCTAAAGCTAATAGCTGTAGATGGTGGGACTCCGCAGAGATCTGGCACCGTAAATATCGATATAACTGTTCTCGATGTAAATGATAATGCTCCAGTATTCAATCAATCTGTATATAAAGCAACAGTCATGGAAAATTCTCCCCGAGATACTTACGTTACCACTGTTAATGCCAGTGACGCAGATTTTGGGTCAAATAGCATTGTGACTTATTATTTTTCAGATCTCAACAGTGGTCTCAGTGATTTGTTTATGATTGACGAAAAACATGGTATAATTTCAATAACAGGCTTTATTGATTATGAAAAAGACAAAAAATACGAACTTCGAATCGACGCCAGAGATCAGGGAGGTTTAACAGATTCAAGCAAAGTGATAATTGAAGTAACTGATGTTAATGATAACGCTCCTATCATAAGTGTTATGTCATTCACTAGTCCCGTGTCCGAGGACTCTCCTCCTGGTACCACTATCGGCATCATAAATGTAAAAGATCTGGACTCGGGTGATAACGGACAAGTAAACTGTAGAATAGAGCAAAACGCTCCTTTCAAAATTAAATCTAATTTAAGAAATTACTATACGTTAGTAACAGATACTGTATTAGATCGTGAAAGCGTTTCAGAATATAACATCACAGTTGTTGCGACAGATGCAGGAATACCTCCTCTTTCAACAAAAAGAACCTTTCATTTAAAGGTCTCTGACGTGAACGATAATGCTCCAGTTTTTTCTCAAAGTGTTTACAGTGCGTTTATTACAGAAAATAACTCACCCGGCGTTTCTCTTCTTACTGTGGGGGCAAAAGATCCAGATGAAAACCAAAACGCCCGGATATCTTATATACTGGAGAACACTAATATTGGTGGAGCTCCAGTTTCTGAATATGTTACAGTAAATGCAGAAAGCGGAGTCGTGCACGCTGTGCGCTCATTTGATTATGAACAAATCAAACAGCTGGTTTTTGTTGTGAAGGCGCAGGATGGAGGCTCCCCTCCTCTCAGTAACAATGTGACTGTGAAATTAATAGTTCAGGACCAGAACGACAACCCTCCTCAGGTTCTGTACCCAGTCCAGACTGGTGG